GTGTTTTCACACTTTGCATTTTCTTCTACTCAAACCTAAGACTTATGTGTTGTTAGGTTGACACTCTAACCACTTGAGCTATTCAACTTGTTTTGTTGATAGATTGGCTCCTCCACAATGATAAACTAAATCTGTGTCACTCCCTACAAAATTGGACTTTGCTGATACATTCGAAGTGTTTTGTCAAATGGTCGAACGGAGGTATTCTGAAATCGTGTGAATCTAAATAAGAAAAAACTGAAAAACTCAGGTTTTATCTAACACTCTCTACGTCGACAAAAAATCCGCGATTACACTGATAAAGAATCTAGTATTTCACGGATGCAGAAAATACATTGACAATCGCTTCCGCTTCATCCGTGAGTGTGTTGAGAAGAGACAAATCATTGTGGAGTTCGTATGCACTAGAGAGCAATGTGTGGATATTCTAACCAAGGCCCTAGCAAGTGTTAAGTTTGTAGAGATGCGGAAATTGCTGGGAGTGAAAAATATCGAACAAAGTCAAGCTTAAGGAGGAGAATGTGAGTTAATAAGCTTGATTTAGCAAAAGAAGTTATTAACTAGAGCAATACCTAAGTGCTTAAGGTTCCTCTATTCAAAAGCTCTCTCCCCTCAATTTGTTCTTACTTCAGATATTTGTTTCGACATATTTCAATTGTGGGCAATTTTCAACACTGCTCTCAACACATGTGACCCATGCAAAGCGTCTACGACCCAGAGTGCTTGGCCTGAGATCATGCAACGGCTCAGATCAAACCCCTAAGCCCATCTACACCGAAAACCCAACCGAGCCCAATACGTTCGGCTTAAACCCGAAGTCTACGCCTCGAACCGGAATGCCACCTGAACACACGTCTCCTTTCCCACAATGACACGTGTCGCACATGCGAACACCCACTCCTTTGGCTTAGTAGGCTCAACGCGACTTGGCTCGATGCGACATCACTTCTTTGCTCAAAACTCGACTATCCGGCTTGGATTGATGCTTTTGGTACCAACTCCCATAGTTTTTACCCTCCTAGAGATTAATTTGACCTTAATTGAGGTAATTGAGGTCAGTTTAGCATCCTATTTCCAAGTTTAAGTTGACTTAGGATAGAAATGTGTGTTATTAACGTAAACTAGATGGACGTTCAAATAGGAAACAACTCCCAACAATACATAGAGAAACTTCTAGGAAACGGAATCTAAATGTACTCAAGTGTAGGGAGAGCGCTGGCTAAGGTCAACCAAGTAAGTGTTCTTACAATTAGTATGGTTAGAAATGATGTTGTGTATTGACACGTGCAGGGCACGTGTCATATATTTGATCTATGAGAAGTTTAGGAAACAATATGACTAGATATGCATATGGAACGATATGACTACGAAGTGTTTATGAAATAATATGATTATGGTATGATATGGGAACGATGTATATATTTATATATATTATATATGATATGAGAATGATATGATATACATTATGGTATGATATTTTTGATGAATTGATATATTTAAGATGTGAAATTGATGAAGCCATATTTGAGATATGTTATGTGACGGTTATTATATGATATGATATGATATGTGCATGATAAGAATTTTTATGTCTGGAAGCATGGAAACGTTATGATATGAGATATATGTATGTAATATGAATGATATGATATGATATGATTGACATGCAAAAATGACGAACTAGAACGAAATACAACCTTGACATACACATGAAAGATATGATAAATGATATGATAAACGACATGCGATAAAGGATATGAGGAATGATATGACAAAATGATATGTATGAAAGAAGACGCTAGCAGGGTTGTATTAAATGATCATGAAAATAGAAAAATGTTAAGACCTCATGCGTTATTGTGTGCTCGTGCATCGGGGAATATCCCTTCTCCTTCAAGATAATGCGAACATGTATGCTACTAGGCTGGGAAACGATCATTATGTTTATCATAATGTTGTTGTGACGGTTGCTATTCCTAACGGGTGTCCAATTAACAGTTACTAGAGAATGCTTGCCCGACTAGAAAGGAGCCCAAGAGGTGTGCGAACCGAATGGTGGGTCCATACTCGCAGGTGTGGACCGTGTGTAGGAAAATTAAGTACACATCCAATTGCCCGTTAAGATAATCGTCGCAGGAAAATAAACTGATATGATAGGTCTCATTCATGGTTGTATGTTTTCGCATTTAACCTCAGTAATGAAGTCACTTAATGAGTATTTTATTTATAACACTCAAGACATGTGCTACTTCTATTTTAAGTAAAGGAAAAATATCCATGTACGGCTAACAACAACATTACAACTCGAGACCATGACACATGAATAGGGCAGATGCATTTATTTTCTTAGACTTAAGTTAGAATATGATGTTTTTAATTTTAACGCTTATTTATTTTATTTAGTCTTTCATTATGTCATTTTAAAAATGTTTTTAAGCATTATATCCATATCCGTGTTTTAAGATAAAGTTTATGTTTCATGAAAAAAAATAAATGCTAAATCTACTATATGCTACTTTAACTAACATCTACGGTCAAACTCATCCTATGCCACCAGAGCATAACTAACATCTACGGTCAAACTCATCCTATGCCACCAAATTCGTGAATGTAACCATTATCATGTAACCTTAATATTAGATACATGGCCTCCTTTCTCCTATTACTTTTTCTTTTCTCATTGCAACTAGTTAACAAAATGTAACGCCCCTAATTTTCTTGTCTAAGTTAGAAACATTTGAATGAATAAGGTAAATAGAGTCAGGAGTTTTGGATCATTAATTCTTGTTGAGTTGCACCTAAGGTCGTTTTGTTATCCTGCTACTGACAGGAAAGGAAGAGGAGTACTTTGTCATTCCTCGATTATCGGCACCATCGGGGGAATGAAATTGTGAGACCGAGTTGTAGAGGTTCAGGATTGAATGAGTTTACTCGACTAGAAAGGTTCCGGAGAAGGTTTTGTCTTTCCTTCTGGAATGTCTTTAACACATGCGAAAATTTAAAATAAGACATTTTCAAATGAATTTACACATTTAATTTAAAAATATAAAATAGAAATAACATAGTATTTGAATACAAAAATAAAAAAGTCACCTAGTCAATGCATACTATTGTCATATCTTGACTTCCTTGACCATCCCAGCATTCATTGTCATCCATGTGGGGGCATTTTACTTTTACCTAAAAAATAAAGACAGTACAAGAAATACTCAGCAAGTCACCCCATCTCAACATGGTCTTGGACTCTTTTCAGTTCCGGGCAGAGTTAGATGTGTGGCACTTCTACACACACGGCCCATGCACGCATACATGGACCCATCAGGCAAGCTCGTATACATACCCCCTATGCCTAGCTTGGTCGGGCACAACGCATTAACGCGTTGTCAGATGCCATAGAAAAGGAAAGACCCCACATAATATCATGGCGAACATAAATATCGAAAGTATGCGTCCATACTAACATAATCTAATGGGGAAGTATTTTGATGCACATGACATACATAAATTTATGAGGTCCCCATAATTTACATTATTAGCATAGCATTAACATCATTCTCTTTTTTGTTTCATCCATGACATAGTACATATGCATCATGTATACCTCATCACAAAATCCATCATATAGCTTCACATGGTAAGACATAACATGATGTACATAATATTTCATTTCATTCACAACATGGTGTAATGGGTTTCACATGCATACATAACGTAGCATCGTATGTCATCATATAGAACACATAACATAGCATAAATCATATGGTGCATGCAGGGTGTCACGGTCATGCTCGTCCAGGGCGTGTTGCCCATGGCCGCATGCCCATGGCAAGCCAAACCCTTGTCATGTCTTTTCATTCTAGTGTTTTTACTTTTGTAGTTATAGGGCGTATGACGCCTCAAAAATATCATGCCTAAGCCTGCCAGACATGAAATGCCTCATAAGGGAATATGACTAGTTGTCAACTTCTCCCTACCCAAGGTTATATATGTTAAGTGGTTGTTATCTCTCTCTTGCTTGCTTATATAACGTCTCTTTCAAAAATCTTTCTTTCTAAAATCTCTCTCACCCTCGTTTTCTAAAACCTTCTTTTAAAACCGAGGCTAGAGGCTCGATCATACGTCGCTTGGTCGTAGGCGACGCAAGAACAAATTGGCTTAGCTCACTTGTCGTTAGAAAGTGAGTGCCGCACAATCGCTAGTCCGCTGCCTTCAAAAGTGCGATTGTGTCACAGGGGACACAGGGCATGCACCATCATAAATCATTCAATTATCCAACTTCAAAGGTAAGGTTGGTTGGTCTTAGCCGAAGTCCCTAATTATTTAATAGCTGCTTCAAAACTATGTTGTGACGTTTAACTTCACTAACATAGTGATGGCTCTCAATATAAATCCTAAAACTATCTAAAGTTGAGTAAACGAGAGTTTTATTGACCTCAATTATCCTTAATAAAGCAAAAAATGGCTTCAAGAGGGTTGAAAACTTAGGAATCAGTATAAAATATGTATATCGAGTCGTCTAAGTCGAGTTGAGACAAACAGCAATTAGGAGCAGGACACGTGCCTAGCACGTGTGGTGCTGAGGACACAGGTCATCACTCGAGTTGAGGCGTGGACTTTGGGTCGACGAACAGATCGGGCTTCACGTGTTCGGTCTGCCTCATGAGTGATTGGGCTATTGGGCCATGCACTTCTGGGCTGCAGTGCCTGCACTGGTGTGGGCCACCCGAAATGGAAATCCGACTTGCGTTGTTTCGTCTTCTTCGCCCGACAAACACCCGAATCTCAATATTGTGTACCATTTGGTCCCTCACGGTTCTACGCCCTACTTCACATTATATACAAATATAAAGTGCATCTAGTAAGCCTAAGCTAAATGAGCTTCATTCAATTATAGAATTTGGCGTGGTCGGAAAGTTACTATAGTTGTCAACAAAATGATACTCAATTTGATAGGTAAAATAGTATTTATAGGCTTAAGTTTCAAAAAGAAAAAACTATTGTTATGAAACGAGCCTTAAAACCTGCCTTGAGCGATTTATTAAGTTACTAAAGATTAGATCATTCTATACAACATCATACCAAATTAGTTCACAGCGCATCCCAATTTGATTTCCTCCTCCAGAACAATCAAGCCTTTCCCGTTTGCTGCTGTTTGGATGTACTTTCAAAGATCTTATCAGCATTTCCAACTTCAAATCCATCCCTTCTGTGCTGCTCTTTCACCTATACAAGTTTGTAATGATCAGAAATTAAAATGTTTTAAGTTTCAAAGGGTCTTGTTTGTTTTTCTCAAATGTGTTTAAATTATTGTTGAAAAGTGAAAAGTAATGACTAAGATAACTTTTATGAGAAGTTTAAGGTTTAGAATAGCACATTTGAAAGTTATGTTCTATACTTTTTGTAGTAGGATGTGTTTTTCACAGCAAGACTCAGGCAAGTAGTGAAAGGATGAAACAACCTATGATTGGGGCTAGTTTAATTACCTCTGTTTCTGGAAGATGTTTGAACTGAGGCAGGACCAGACGCTCAGCAAACTCGATGTACGAGCAGGGGACTGTGGTAGTAATGCCATCAGAAAATTCAAAAGAAACCGAATCCGCGAGGGTTGAGCTTTGCAGTAGAAGACCATCTGGGCTTACTGAAACGAAACGGTCGAGTATAGATCATAAACGCATAAATAACAGATAGCAAGACTAGACTAGCCGTGTCATGTACCTTTCAAAACTCCACCTTCAGAATTCAGTTTATAACCATTCTCTTCTATGAACTCATTGAGGTTTTTGATATTTCTAAGATGAGATTTCAGCCTATGGATCGAAATAGTCACGTGATTAACTGCATAACCGTTCACAAGACTCCAAGCGGCATATTCACTCTCTCTATAGATTCGAAAAGATAAAACAAGTCATTGACATTGCAGATTACGGTGCTCGAAGCATACGTTTCACAAGCTTTCAACTCTAAAATCATCCTGAATTAACTTTTATAACATAAATTTTGGAGTCAATGGAGATGAAATACCTCGCTAGTTGGACAAACTCGGAGTGTGAAGGCTTTTCCCATGTCAAGGAACCTAGAGCACTTGCAAGAGCAGCATGCTTCTTTCCCTTGTGAGAACTTTCAGTGTATTTTCTGATTATATCCTGAACACAATAGGTAAAAGCTAAAGCAAATTACCAAAAGATTTGATTTTCTGTAACAGCTCAAGCCCACCACTAGCAGATATTGTCCTTTTTAGGCTCTCTTTCGGGTTTCCCCTCAAGGTTTTTAAAACGTGTCTGCTAAGAAGAAGTTTCCACACTCTTATAAAAAATGTTTCATTCTCCTTCCCAACCGATGTGGGATCTCACAATCCACCCCCTTCAGGGCCCAGCATCCTCGATGGCACTCGTTCCCTTCTCCAATTGATGTGAGACCCCCCAATCTACCCCCGTTTGGATCCAGCATCCTTACTAGCACACTGTCTTGTGTCCACCCCCCATTCGTGGCTCAGCCTCCTCGCTGGCACATCGTCAGGTAGAGGTTTCCACACCCTTATAAAGAATGCTTCGTTCTCCCCAACCGTTGTGGGATCTAACAAAAATAATTAGATATACTATAGATTGATTAAAACTTAAAAACAATACAAAGTTGTAATTCAATTGGTGATTGTGTTACATCTATATATATAACAATATTTCCCCAAATTATGCACCTAAGTAGAGAACAATGGCGTTAGGAATCAACTATATATCCATCAATGAACCAGAGATAGAAATGAAATCATGACAGAGGACCCAAGATAGAAGTTCTTGTTCAAAATTCAAAAAAAGAAGAAAACTGAACAAAATATAAGACATTCAAGCAATATGCTGATTCCCCTGAGTTAAGAAGTTCCTAAACCACACCTGAGTTTGTGGGCTCATCAGATCCACAAGAAGCTCTGATATGAATACTCTTGGTAGAGGTCCATGAACACCATCACCATCATAAGCTGCATCAGAATTGGCCGGTGGAGAAAACCAAAATGCTTTTAACTTTTTGGCTGGGAATGATAATTCTTCTTGTCGTGTATATCCAAAATCCAGAAAAAAGTTTGCTAATGAATCAATGCCGTGGCCATCCGTCTAAGTCATCATAGATACAAATACAAATTGAACATTAATTAGATTGATAGCAAAGCCCCAGCCTAGGAGGAGAATGTAATCCAAATTTCAGAGTAAGAAAAATACCCCAAAAGTTCTAAACGCAAGATGATCATAACAAATCTTATCATTATCGACGGACCGAACCAGTTCCAATATGGCCTTTGCTGAGGGATTGCGATTAAGATAAACTGCCTCCATGCTCGCTAGAACATTCCTAAGAAAGGATTCAGCTCCCTACCATTATCCATCACGAATCATAACTCATTAGCTCGATGAATCAGAAGAAAACAAAAGAGAAAGGGTAAATTAACCTTAATCCGTGATTGTGATTGCTGCGGTGCATTTCCAGGTTTGGCGGTTGCCATGATCGAGAACAATCGGGTGCCGCCAGAGTTGGAATGACGGCAACAAGGAAGCGATGAAGATTTTCGAAGAAGAGAAAAGAAATTGTTAGAACTGGTGTGTGAAGAAGAAGGTTTGGAAGAATTCCATCGCGCAGTGGACAAAATCCTGAACGCTGAGGGAGACAGGGAAGCCATGCGTCTGGTTTTTGATTCTTGGGAGCGTTGGATGAAAGCAGTAAAAAGATTGGGAACGCCTAGAGACGCTGCGCGGTTTCCGTGTATTGGACGGAAATCATTTCAGGATTAGGACATATGGTTGGTTTGAGTGTTCTGTTCAAACAAAACTAATACTAATACCCAATTTCATTAGATTGATTCCTAATTTAATATCCAAAGCCTTTTTTATTAGTATTCAAACCCTTATCTTCCGGTAGATCATAAATAGATAAGAACGAGATTTTGGTCTACTTTGATACAAGTCAAGAGTAACCATATCTACAATGGTATGATATTGTTTATTTTACGATAGAGATCGCAGATATTGTCATCTTCAACCGATGCGAGATCTCACAATCCACCCATTCGGGACCTAGCGTCCTCACAGCACACCTCTCCGTGTACACTCCCCTACGTGGCTCAATGTCCTCGTTGGCACACCGCCCGGTGTCCATCCCCACTTTGGAGCTCAGCTTCTTCACTGGCACATCACCCGATGCCTAGCTCTAATACCATTTATAACATCTCAAGCTCATTGCTACTAGATATTGTCCTTCTTGAGCTTTTCCTTTCAAGTTTACCCTCAAGGATTTTAAAACGCGTCTACCTATGTAGAGGTTTACACACCCTAATAAAGAATATTTCTTCTCCTTTCCAACTGATAAACAATGTTTTATTATCAGAACTCTTCCTTTTGGGTTTCCTCTCAAGGTTTTAAAAACGTATATGCTAAGTAGAGGTTTATACACTCTTATAAAAAATGTTTTGTTCTTCTCTCAAACTAATAAAGATTGTTTCATTATCGGTTGAGCTTTTCCTTTCGGGCTTCCCCTCAAGGTTTTTAAAACGTGTATGCTAAGTAGAGGTTTACCAACCCTTGTAAAGAATGTTTCATTCTCCTCTCCATATAATAAAAAAAAATGTTTCGTTATTAGTTGAGTTTTTCCTTCCGGACTTCCCCTCAAAATTTTTAAAACGTGTATGGTAAGTAGAGGTTTACATACCCTTATAAAGATTGTTTCGTTTTCCTCTCCAACTGATAAAAAAATGGTTCGTTATCAATTGAGCATTTCCTTTTGGGCTTCCCCTCAAGGTTCTTATAACACGTCTGATAAGTAGATGTTTACACACCCTTATAAATAATGTTTCCTTCTCCTGTCCAATTGACGTGGGATTTCACAATTTACCTTCCTTTGAGTCCCAGCGTTCTTGATGACATTCATTCCCCTCTCGAATCAATGTGGGATCTCACATATAAGAACGAGAGTAACCACTTCTTCAATGGTATGATATTATCAACTTTTAAATAAAGTCATAAAGAGATAAGAACAAGAATAGCAATCTCTATAATGGAATTATTACATACACTTTGAGATAAGGCCGAGATAATATCATAAAAAGAATAGAATGAGATACTGTCTCTTACTTATAAACTCATAAAGATTAATATAAGATTAATCTTAATTATCAAGAATTGTTGAAGGGTGTATTTTGCAATATACAATGATTTAATTATATAATTTTATACTTTAAAAATTAACATTAATTTATTAAGAGATCCATACCGATAGAGAATGATTGAATTATGGATATGCATCACTTCATTCGCATACCTCTTCTATGCCCAAATATCACGTCCACTAACTTCAAGTCTCAACGATTCTCTAGATCGATGATTTAACACCTAACCATGCTTATTTTGCAATATACAAGGATTTATTTGTATTGATAAGTGACTTTTGTAGTCGATTCAACAAATTTAAAATTTCAAGGATTTTACCCAGTAGACAGCTGAAAACATAATTTCACTAGATATAATTCATTTGTTCCTATATGAAGGTAACATAATAATAACGCATATAAGCTATACCTTCATACTCTATTACAATTTCTCTACAAAAAAAAAAAAAAAAAAATTATAAAAAGTAATTAGAATTTTAACATCATCTAATATATGGGTGTACATGTCCTGGTTGGATTGGGTTGGGTTGAGAGATTTTTTTTTACCCAACCCAAATTCGGGTTGGTTGGATTGGTCCAAAACTTTTCACAACCCAACCCAACCCTCTATTTTCGGGTTGGGTTCGTGTTGGGTTGTCAATTTTTTTTAAGTTTTATTAATCCATGCTGTATAATTATTTGGATATAATCTCAAATAATGATTTGTATAATTATTTACAAAAACAGAAACAAAAAAACAAATCCTAGCAAAAATTCTGACATATTAACCTAATTCAACATTATCATATACCCATATTTTTTAGAATTGGTTAAAATAAGGATAGATGATAGAAATTATAAATAAACAATAAAAAAATTTAGTTTATAGGTAGTGTATATAATAAAAATAAAAAATATATAAAAATATTTTAATTGAAATAAATTATTAGAAAAATAAATATATATAAAAATTAGAATATAAAATGTTGTAAACAAAAATAAATATATATATAAATTAGAATATAATAATGTTGCACAAATAGATAATAAATACATTAAAATAATAAAAAGAAATAAAAGAAATTAATAATATATATATATAAATTAGAATATAATAATGTTGTAAACAAAAATAAATATATAATAAATTAGAATATAATAATGTTGCAAACAAAAATAAATATATATATAAATTGAGATATAATAATATTACACCAAATAGATAATAAATACATTAAAATAATAAAAAGAAATTAATAAAAAAAAGTAATAGACTAGAGTCGAACCAAATAGATAATAAATACATTAAAATAATAAAAACAAATAAAAGAAATTAATAAAAATATATATATGTAATAGACTAGAGTCGGTCTTGCTAAACTGGCCAAAGTACCACTTTGACAAATCCATTAATAAAAGAATATTTTTAATATAGTTTATATATTTTTATTTGGATCGGGTCGCTCAGGTCAACTCGAGAATTTTGTCCTACAAATCTAAAACCGAACTGATTCAATTCGGGTTCTGCAAAATGCTAATCTCATCCAACCCAACTCTATATGGATTGAATTGGTCCAGGTTGTCCGGTTGAATGTACCCTAATCTAATATTTAAATATGACTTAAATTTAGATACAACTTAAATAATAAGAGTTTATATATATTATATATTATTCTAGATTTATTATTATTTAATTAAAGAATAAAACATAAAATATTATTTAATTGAATAATTTGACTTAATGAAAACTATCTAAAATTAACTAATTTAATTAAATTATTAGAAGTAATTGACGGAACTAAAAAGACAATTAATTGTCGAACAATCTCTTTTACAAATTTTTTATCGTTTTCCTACCTCCTTTTAATTATTAATTATAATTATTCTAATAAGCTTACAGAAATCGGCAGCCTTGTGACGCACAGCCCTTGCGCGTGCTGCTCGTTCATGTTCTTAATTTAATCAGCTTCATTTCTACAGCAGCAGACGCCTTCATCATCTGTGGAAGAACAGAGTTCTTTTCTGTTTGAATTTAGATTTTGAATTCAATGGCTGCTTCTAACACATTATATTTACAATCACAATACTGTAAATTAAAACCCAAAAACAGTAATCCAATACTAACTAGAATCTTTGTGTTCTTGTTTGTGTTCTGCTCCAGCCTCACCCCTGTTTCCAGATCAATCACTCTCTGTTCTTTATATCAAACCTTCCTTCTCAAACTCAATTCCCACTGTTACAGATTCAATGAAAATATAACATCAAACCACAGCCATTTAGTTTTTGCTCTAATCTAAATCAAGGAGTTTCAAAGAGTTTCAAAGGGTTGAATGATTCTTACGTTTTGAAGATTTCGAAACCAGAACAACTTTCAAAGTTGTGTTGTTGGGAGGAAGCTGCAATCGAAGAGGATAAAGCTTCCCATTCAGTGGACTACGAGTACAAACAATTACGTCTTCAATTCCAGTCACTTCCTCCAATTTATGGCTCAATTCCTCCACTCCTTTTCCATTGAAATTCAAAGAATGCCTCTCTGAATCTTCATCCTCCCCCTCATCATCAGCAATCTGGTAAAATATCCTCCTCCCTTCCGATTTAGGTGGTGAGTTCAACGCTCCAGAGTTATTCGACTGAAAAATTTGGGGAAAATTGGAATTAGTGTTAATCGAAATGAATTTGGGGGAATAGATTAGTAAAACACCTCAGATCTTGAAGGATTTGCAGATTCAAATGAAACAGAAGATGATGTCGAACTCAATTCAAGAGAAGAATCCGGGTCGGGTTCGGGTTCGGGATGAGCTAGGGTTTTGTGAACAGAAGATTGAATCTCGATTTCGACAACATCAACATCCCATAGAATCCATTCCTGAGTAGCGGTACGATGCGGCACATCGTGAGTGACGGAGTTCCGCCACGGCGGAACACCGCCGTTGCCTCTCAAGAAATTACCGTACCGCGTTTTAAGTCTCACAAGCGAGCGTTCCTTGATCGGCTCCCACTCAAGCGAGGAGTTCAACCGCTCCGGACGAGTCTGAAGAACCTTCAAGCCGGTCATTCCGAGCAAGAACGGCTGATTCGAGGCCATTAAGTACTTGCCGTAGCAGCTCTTGAGGCGGATTATAGAATCGGAGTACTTAACAAACTCAACACTCCATCTCGCATTCTCCGACGATCCGTTCCGACTCTGAGTAACAGACTCCTCGTCTTCGTCGGCGAACAAATACTTCTTGTTATGGCTCCGGAGGCGGACGACCTTGGCGTTGCGGAAGAAATCCATGTTGGAATTGAACTTAGTGGAGGAGATGCGATTCTGTAGAAGAATTTGAAACTGAGAGGTTTGATAAGAGATATTCTAAGACGGATTCACGATTTTATGGGTCTGAAAAAGCAACAATGGCGTTTTTTTGCTTTACAGTGGAAGGAAGCTGAAGAAGATTCTCTTTGTGTGGGTTGGCACGAAGGTGGAAACAGCGGAGATATCATTCGACTAGCTGACGTATGTTTTTTACACACACATAGATATGTATGAATGAAAATAGCCTTACAATCTAATAGTGTCATATTTTAATAATGAAAAAAAAACCTAATTTTGAGTCGGATTTTGTTAGATTATGAACTCTATTTAAGTTCTTTAGATCCCCAAAACAATCAACTCAAAATTTCGATTCTATCCAAAAGAAATTTCAATCCAACATGAGTACGCCTCTGAGTATTAGTAGAGATGTTCAATCCCGTGAGAGAATGCCTTGAATGGGAAAGGAATTTCCCGTTTAGACGAGTAATGAAGAAGAAGTGAGAAACATTTTTTTTCTTATTAAATAAACGAGAATGGAATAGAATTATATCATGATACCCATCCTAGACTTGATATCAATATATTTTCAACACATAAAAAATTCATTTTTATATGAAAGACTACGTCTTTTTAATTATTAAAGATGATGTTATATTATAAAAATTTTAAAAAATTATGCGGATAAAATGGGAATTTTAAAATATTATTTATTTTAAAAAAATATTTTTTCACAAAAAAAAATAAATGAAAAAATAGGAATAAAATAGGTGAAAGACTTCTCCCATAAGATATCTCTAGGTATTGGATTTTGTTTGAAAATGTTTTTAGAGGAACATTAAATGGTATTTTCTTTTTTCATTTTCAAAGACAATTATTTTTTGTTTTTATTATATTTGTTGACGTGGAAATAAATATGAATTTAGATTTCCGAGGTGTAAACTGTCAACGTATCCAGCTGGCTCCGTCAAACACAAGGACCTAGTTTTTGTTACATGTCACTCTCAAATATCAATTATTTATTTATTTATTTATTTATCATTTTAGCATATGGTATCTCAATTATTGAATGAATTACCCTAAATTTATTTAATCAGATAATAGAAGACTTACCTCGGCCACATCAGCAAACGCCGTCCCGGGCTCCAAATTCACGGCCTCAATGTCCCACAAAATCCACTTTCCGGTGGTGGAGCTGTGCGGCTCGTCGTGAGTCACTGAGTTTCTCCACGGCGGCGTTCCTCCATTCGCCCGCAAAAACGTCCCACACCAACTCCGCAGCTTCACCTGGAACCCTTCCCGCACCGGCTCCCACTGCACCATCCAGTCCGAGGATTTATCCGGCGGATCCTGGATTACCCTGTTCCCGGTCATTCCCAGTAGGATTGGTAGGTCCGACGCGCTCAGGTAACGCCCGTGGCAGTTTCTCAAGCGGATGGCTTTAGGATTCTGCTCCACTGGTTCGACCACCCATATGGTTTTACGGGATGCACGGGTGCGGCTCTGGCGGATGGTTTGTTTGTCGTCATCGGAGGCTAGGTACTTGTCGTTGTGGGCTCGGAGTTTGATGGCCTTTGTTTTGGTGAAGAGCTCCATGGTGTATAACAATGGCTTCTGAAAATGTCAGGCTTCTGAAAACGTTTGCTGAAACCACCACACCTAAATGATTTATAGCGTCGGAATACGAGGAAGATTCGTGGGAAGAACCCAATTGGAGACTTTTTTTTGTTTTGGTTGACTGACATAATTGGCGAAACTTCTTGGCTCTTCTCACCGGTTGATTGCGTCTATGAAAGAATAAGGCAAAATTTCCATTTTTAACATGAATAAGTAACGTGTATCCATTTCTAACAAACTTTTTTTCTGTTTCATTTAATTCAAACCTAATCTTTGCCGTAGACAAGGATGCATGGTAAATGAACTCGGTCAAGAGATCAATTATGACTTAGACTAATGTGACTATAGTGAACAAAAGTGTAACGACCCAGATCCACGCTACTTAATATTGTCATCTTTTGACTTTCACTTTTGGGCTTACTCTCAAAGCTTTCAAATAGAAATAGAGGTGTACATTCAACCCGACAACCCAAACTATAAGGGTTGGATTAGCATTTTAGGTAAATTGGGTTCATTTTTCTGAACTCGAACGGAATGAATCGGTTTGATTTCGAGTTCGTGAGCAACTTCAGATTAACCCGAACCAAATAAAAATATATAAAATATATTAAAAATCTTTCTAACGTCACATATAAATAAACATATTTCATAATTTATATGTACAAATGATCAATCCTTATATTTTTTTTATCCAACCCGAAAATAAAAATCCCCCAACCCAACCCGGATCATGTACACTTCTACTTTAAACCATGTCTGTTAGGGGAAGATTTCCACACCCTTATAAGGTGTTTTATTCTCCTTCCCAACCAATGTGGGACATTACAAAAACGGTGATACTCAACTTTATTATGAATGGGGAAATGAGGACGGATACAATTACAAATCAAAATACAAATGACTCAAAATGTAAAACCGAACTGACACTCTGGAACGACAACCCCCCATATGAATGTGTAGGTCTCAAATGCTTCATCTTGACCAATAGCCTACAAACGCCTGAAAAAGAAAGAGAAAATGGGTGAGTATAAAAATACTTGGTAAGCAATATATTTGTAGGCTCACATCATATCCTTAATCTAGTAGGTATCTATAGGCTCAACTCTGGGTCTAGGAAGTTTGGGTTTAGTCTCTATTACTATTTAAGCATCTAAGGCGTTTTAAAGTTTCAAGTGGTACTTTAGCTGCTCATGGGCCAACTCTAGATATAGAGGAGGTGATTCACCATTTTCTAACGTCACGGGTCACGGATCTGTTGAGTGACAAGTCCCATCTTTTGGGTGAATTGCTCTTCTATTCATTGACTTAGGGGAGTGAAACTGGTGTCTAACAAGTGTGCATGTTAATGAGAAAAGATGGGCGATTAAGGTTGGTACTAAGGTTGTCCATATCAATTTAAAAACTAGGAGTAACTAGAACTACCCAACTTAACTTATAAATGTTGTATTTGGGTTGAATTTTCTAAAAACCAAAAAGTTGGGTTTGTTAGCCCGTAGAGATTTTTTTGTCGGATCAACCTAAAAATAGAGTACAACCCAATCTCGCTCTATTTTTAAAATTATCATGAAAATGAAGAATATTTGATGTTTGTAACTGATACACTGTGAAATATGAATATTTGATATTTGAGTTTTATGAAACTATGGTTATTAATGTAACATGTACGGTAGATAAGTAAGATTTTTTAAATAATTAAAAAAAGTAACCTGACAACTCAATCTTACCCTTTGTTTTTGGGTTGAGTTGTGAAACATATTCGATTACTCGGGCCACCAATTTAACTCACTCGAAATTTTGTTGAATGGTTACTTATAGATACATGTATAAGTACATGTATGAATATACAAAACAAGATTCCCTTGCACAGTTTTCTAGCGTGTTGCCCAAAGCTAAGCGACATAGACATTGGAAACTGAAAGTCTTTTAACATTGAGTCAACTCCGTTCGTATAAATGCTTATATTTTTCCAAACAACTTGACTTCGTCAAATATTTTTATTTAAGGGTGTCGTGTTGAATATGTTTTGTTTTAAAAACGACAATTTTAATATCCATTTACAAAATTTCAACGTAAATTTATAACTACATTGTATGAAATTTAATGAGCGTATTATTCAACTAAAATTGACCGAGAATAATATACATAAAAAATGAACGAACAAAAAATCGGTAAAAAAAAGTATGAAAGTGACCTTACTATAGGATAGACTAGAATTGTTTGCATGGAGCTTTATTTACGAGCATGATGATGTATGATGTTATGATGATGTATGAGTATGATGTTTGAGCTGTGATGCATGTTGTATGTATGTGATTTATGTTTCGATGCATGATGTACATGATATGTTTGATGCACTTGATGACATTATGATAGGTATGATGTTTGCATGACGTTTATCTTAATATGATGATATTTTCTATAATGAGCATGTTATATGATGATAAGTGTCATATTGCATCACGTTGTTAGATCAACCTAGGACACAACCCTAAGAGCATGAAAATGATGTTAATATAATTAACCAACAAGCATGTGTTACTTCATGTAACAAAAGGATGAGACTAGAGGGTTGTGTGCGGATGCTCATGCATACTGGATATTCACAAGCTAGGGATACTTCCCCTAGAGATATGAGTGCAGACGCTCACAGTATGAGAGTAGGGTGTTCATGGGGAGTATGACACTATGGGGTTTCGCTGACCTCCGGACGTTGTTACAAATTAGCTTGACCAGAGAGGGTCTAGGGGGTGTGCGAGCATCCTGGAGATTCACACTCGCACGTGTAGGTCGTGTATATGGAAGTACTATACATCCAATTTTTCCGAGACTGGAGGTCACCCGTAGAGAATAGAGATAGGTCCGAAGAGCATGATTGCATGTTTTACATTAGCATGACCCCTATAGTGGGGTCACTTGCTAAGTATTCTTTGAAATACTCAGGCCATGTGTCATATCATTTTTAGGTAAAGGCAAGGCGCCCATGTATGGATAACGACAACGTTGCAAATAGAGATTGTGGCACGTGAATAGGGTAACTACATGTTTAAATTCCTAGTCTTAAGTTAGAATACGACATTTGCATTTCATTATTTAAATTATTTCATTTGTAATTGTTTTTGTTTTAATTTTAAATTTCATCGTTAGGTTTTGGAACATATAAGACCATCCGTGTCTGGAATGTTTTTAAATTTTTCGTTATTTATGATGAGCATTTAAGAGTTATATTCCGCATTTAAGAGATAAACATGAGATGTTAGTAACGATTATGAGTATTTAGAAATTTAGGGTCGTTACACGATATGACTCAGAAGCTAGTGTGCATATATGTATAGATATGAAAAAGCCTACTTTTGTAGTGAAAACAACGGTGGGTTTCGAGACAAATGTTGTTTTTTTAGTGTTCGAGAACCAAATAGACCTTTGAAAGTAAAATAATCCAATGAGTTAGGCTCCTAACTCTATAACTCTATGTAGTATCTATTTTGCCATGAAAGCTTGCACCTGAATCCAAATACCCCACATGAACTGACTCTCCTAGTTGATTCTTGGTCAAGTTGTTTGGCATACTAACTGATCGATATCAATACAAAATCTGCCAAGACTTTGTTGAAGCCTCAAACTAGGTCCATACAAGGTCTCCAACATGGCCTCTTCTGCAGTCCCATCTTTATCGACATATTCCACGTACATCTTTGTGATATTCCACATTGGTTGCAAAGGAGAATGAAATGTCCTTTATAAGAGTGTGAAAATATTTCCTTAGTAGACGCGTTTTAAAGCCTTGAGAGGAAGCCCGAAAGGGAAAGTCCAAATAGGACAACATCTGCTAGCGGTGGGCCTGAGCTATTACAATCTGTTACGAGCCAACAAACTGAAAGAAACCTTTTTGCAATTTGTTTAGTAATAGGATCATTTGTTTGCTACTACGATTGTATATGGTTGAGTTGGGTCGGGTTAGTGGAAAGGACCAATCTCAATCAATTCTCCAACCTACCTAACCCGAATTTAATGGGAAACTCAATCCAACCGTGGTAATTTTAGGTTAGGTCATTTGTGTCACCATAGATTAGGGATTAAAGTTTGAAGGAAACAAAACGAGAGAAAAAGAGAAGAAATGAGATATATTCACAATTTTTGGTGTTATATGGTGGCACATCAGTTGTAAGGTAACAAACAATGAATTTGTAGGAGTCGTTCAACGTTTGAATGAGTGAATCAAGTTTTATGAATCGAGTTCAAGAGAGACAAAATGAAATATACGTATGGTAAATGAACGCAAAGATCAAATATAATATATATGGTAAATTATAATTCAGTACTAAATATCTTTAACATGGATAAGGAAGTGGTGTTTCGTCATTGCAAGTCACAAGGGTATTATCCCGAACTCAACTACGACCAATGGCGGCTGCTACAGAACATATTCAAACTCTCTCAAATGAACAAAAACTTAGTAGACAAGGAACATCTTTCAGAATACAGAAGAAGAAATTTAGTAGACAATGCAATACAAACACCCATATCCTCCTCAATCATTGGTCTTTTGAAGGGTCCATGATCTTGTGTCGTCTCATGTCCCACCCCCAGCTGGCAGGCTGTCTGATAGAGAACCAAACCTCTCAGTGTCATTCTTCATAATTAGTAGGACGTTCGTTCGGCGAACGGCTCAAGTCCATTGCTAACATGTATTGTCCTCTTTGGATTTTCTCTTTTGAACTCGGATTTCCCCTCAAGGTTTTTAGAACGTATTTGCTAAGAAGAAGTTTCCACAACCTTATAAAAAATGCTTTGTTTTCTGGACTTTCCCTTTCTAGTTTGAGTTTTCTCTCAAGGTTTTAAAATACGTCTACTAAAGAAAGGACGGAAAATCATCTCTTGACTTAAACTCTATTTTCAATTATTTATATAATCGAATGTGTAGTACAAGAACTAGGGATGTTCATATGACTCACGTAGCCAAAAGTAACGGAAAAGAAAAAAACACGAACTTTAAGTGTTCAT